CGTGCCATATAACCTTCACGCTGAAAAAGGGTAAATGCCCTCCTGTCAGCATGAATAACAAGGCTATACCAGAGGTCTCCAACATCAAATATCTCGGTATTCATTTGGACCATAAACTAAACTGGATACAACATATAAACCAAAAAATAAAAGAGATACGAAGCAAAGTCAGGTCACTGTATTGGTTAATAGGACATCACTCCAAGCTGTCGCTGTACAACAAACTTCTTATTTACAAATCTTCCATTAAACCTATATGGACCTATGGAGTCGAGCTTTGGGGATGCGCCAGCAAAACCAGAATCAAGGCCTTACAGAGACAACAATCAAAAATTTTAAGACTTATCACAAGCGCGCCTTGGTATGTATCCAACGAAATCTTGCATAATGACCTCCATATGGAAACAGTACAAGAAGTGATCAGTAAAAGAAGCATATCCCACTTTGCCCGGCTACATAACCACGTAAATTCCATCATACAACCGCTGCTGTTGGACTCTCAACCCAGAAGACTCAAGAAGAAACAACCAGCAGATCTTCTCTAAGTGTCTAGTAATCCTCATTGGAGGGTTATCTACCATGCCAACTTTTATACTCAAGTGCAACTCTACTTGAGTTAATATTGAACCAAACAGCCATAGAACAACAATATGTTCTGATTGCTGTTGGATAATGTTAAAAAAAAAAAAAAAAAAAAAGTTACATCGTAGTACTAATCTTGATTTAATGAAAAATGCCTGAATCAGAAGAATATTTTACTCCGTTCCTTGAAAATAATAAAACAAATTAAACATTTTTACCTAGAATTAAACATAAGTTTATTGATTAGAAATTATTTCTATATTATTCGTAGTTTCTATAAATCTTTGAAGTTATCAAAATGGAAAATATTTTTAGGCAAGACATATATTACAGTTGTTCAAAGAATGAGATTATATCACCAGCAAAAAAGTAAAAAAAATACAAGCAGTCAATTAATGTATGTTAATTTTAATTACATGAAGTCTTTCAGACGCAATTACATGATGAGTGAAGTTGCGAAAACAATATTTGTGGAGGCGTTGTTTAACATAATCCACTGAGTGAACGAATATTATAGAATTTATTAATCAGCAATTATTTCATTTATCTAATGAAGGTTTATTTCTAAATGCTAATTACAATGACAAACCGATCATGTCATATTCGAAGTATGACTTTAATTACATTATTGTTATTAAATATTATGCATATTTTTAATGCTATTATAAATATATAATTTATAATTTGTCATTATATAAATGCGTATAATGGTTGACACTAATAAATGTGTGCATCACGAGTGTTATATTACTAATAACCATTATTCAAAACTGTTATATGAAGTATTTATTTTTACTTAACTTAAATTTGCTACTTTGTAGCAAATGAGTTTTACTTCAATCGCGCGTGAACCTTACGCGCACTATTTTTATTATTTTTTATTTTTATTTTGTATATATGTAATATAAGTAACTTACAACTTCGTTTACATTTTTTTAATTAATATGTATTGAAATTTTGTCGGTATTGCATTCTCGGGATGATACTTCTCCTAAACAACCTTGCCCTTGAGAAGGTCTGTCTGTATTTTTTTTTTCATCACTGATGATATATTATTTTAACTTTTTGCAGTAAAATTGGTAAAGGCTTTTTAATCTTGGAAATATATCTTAATCGATATTTTCAAGTTTAAACAATGGATATAACTCGGTTAACTCCAACAATGAAGTTGCAACATATCCAGCATCAAAACAAGTCAGAAATATCAATACATGAACTAAAGCATAATGGTCTTAAACAAAGTAAGAATGGCTCAAATACAGATCATTGACATTCATGACAAAACAAATTACTTATAAACATTTAACATTGAAACAATGCATAATGCACAAAATTCTTAAGTATGCACAATTTAGACAATTGTTTTTGAACTGCATTGTATTTTCTAAGATTCAATTAATCATCTGACAATGAGTTGACATCACTGTTGTAACTATAAACTCTTCTGGAACAAATAAATTTACGTTTTTAACATCCGCTGTGGAATAAAAATTGGAAAAGGATATTTGTATATATGCGAATGCTAATTTTGCTTTTCGTTCATGTTTATTTCGAAAACGGAAACGTCTGAACGCGTTATACATTGACTTAGAATTTCATGTCAACAACGGGACAATTTTTAAACTAAATATGTACAATTCTGTTTCGCTCATCAAGTTATTGTACCATGCTCTACATTTAAATTATATTCTAAATTTTATTGCAATCAATGTTTTGTCCATTTTTAAAATGCGATATAATAAATAAATAATGCAATTTGCAAGAACTTTTGCTATCGAGAATTAATTAATAAACCTGCTAAGCAGAATTTTTAAAATTATAACACTGTACTGTTTCAACAAATTAGTGGTAACGACGCGTTACAAATTATTATAGCATAGTTTTTGTTCTTATTTTTTTATATTGTTTGAATAATCATCACAGTAATTCTTAAAGTTTTATGAGCTGTCATGGTGTATTTTATGCGACCGAGCTTTATATGAATGCAACTCAATGGTTTTGACCTTTCTCTTACTGAAATATTTATTAGATACTTCTTTTTTTATTTGCATAGATTTATTGCCAATCAAAATAATATACATTTTTAAGACAATATGCTGAGTGTAAATGCATTTAAGAGATTATCTCTCATGAGATATCTCTCTTTAGATACTTCTAATTGTGGTTCTAATTTTCACTTCGAAACATGTTTGGGGCTAAATGGGTAGAAATGGATATCAACACTACTTATGATTACGAACGCACCAATATAAGTTTTTTTTTTCTTTTAATATTTTTTCGATAAGAATGGCACATATACACAAAAAAGTTGCCTTTGATGGGTGTGTTTTTCAATATATTATATACTGCTGAACACGAATCTATTGTCAAAATTGGGAATTGAACAGCAAGAAACGAAGAAAAATTAAAAAAAAACGACAAAATATCTGTTAACGCCTAAAGCACAACCCTGTTCTAAGCAAATCCTATATATATATTTTATAGGAAATACTTTTCATACAGTATAAGCATTATACAGCCTAATACCTTTATTACTTCTTATATTTTTCCTCATTGTAATGCATCCTGTCAGTGGCGTAACTATAGTATCTGGGGCCTGTGGCAATTTCTAATAATGGGGCTCTATCAGTCAAAATCGTACTCACAATTAGTGTAATTTTAATAATATAAATCATAATGGTATCTGAACACGGAGATTTTTCTATTTTGTCTTCGAAAGCGGATGGAAAACTGGGAATTTTCTTGGGAGATTCCGGTGTCTCTTTATATATATCAACAATTTCTAGAGCTTTTTCAATAGATCACTGTAATTTAAAGTTTGTAAAACGGAAAAAATACGGAAATTTGAATTCATTTTATTCATCGGAAAGGAAACGCGCTTTCAGTTAGAATAATAATTCTGACCAATTCTCGATAAATTATGTTTTTTGTTTGTTAGAAGAAACTTTTTAGATCTTGGAGACGCTCATTTTCGCAAAACACGTGGAAATGATGTTTTAACGTGCGTGAGAGGTCGATCTTTTTTATCTACACTATTTTTTCTTTTTTTTTCAAATTATTTCTGGTATAGTCATAATTCTTCTAGTTAAATTTTCAAACGTTTTAGAAGTATTTGAAAGTACATATTCCGATCTTTCAAAGTATTTGAAAGATTGGAGCCTTAGGATGGAAATGATTTGAAGGCTGCATCGATAGTTGGAAAATTTCGATTTTTTGAGCGAAAGAACTTTATTTTTTCATTTTTTTCTGATTTTCAATTTAACAAAATTATTTTTGTTAACACTTTTTGGACTTCAGCAAAGCAATAGAATAGAATAGTGAGGCAGATACCTCATTTATGGCTGCATTTTCTACTTTTAGAATCAGAACAGATATTAGTTTTTTTTTTAACTAAAGTATGTTATTGGCTCTTTAGTTCACTTCAACTCAACAATATTGAAAACGTTTCCTTAGTAACTTGAATCATTGCTATCTGCATATCTGTGGCTACAAAAATCTTACACGTTGATGAAGGTGCGATTTAAACCAAGAAGATTCGAAAGTACTTTTTATGGACTCTTGTCTTTCATCTAGTGAGCAATGTGACCGCCGCTTTACAAATACATGAATTCAGATAAATTTGCTAACGAATTTGTACCACTTTGGATTTTGAGAACTAAAGAAAAAGAAAATATACATTTCAAGTTAAATAAAATATTTAGGTATAATGTTTTTTTATTTTTTTATTTTTTTATTTTTTATAACCAATCTGAGCCTTGGGTTCAATGAGGTTATTTGCTGATGGGTACAGTGCTTTTAGAAATTTTCCCAGTGGGGAATTTCCTTACATAAATATATTGATTGTTAATTTATTAATTCTTGCGGTCACTTTCTATTTAATCTTCTCATAGGTACTTGTTTTAGCAGGTCTTTTATTAGAGTGTTTGGATGGTATGCGCTCTTTTGATGATAGGTATAATGTAAAAAAAAATATTTCGGATTATGCGGATTCTTTCTCGTTTTCAGCGGTACATTGGAACAAATACATGGAAAAACATATGTCACACCTACTTAATACAGGGAATTTTTTGTTGGACCTGTGTAATTACTTCCAGGCGAAAGGAAAGATTATACAAGGCCCCATTTAAAATCCGTTGCAAAAATAGTTCTGAAGATGGTTGTATTCCAAACCATTAAACATATGCCAATTCAAGTGTATTATTTAAAAAAAAAATTGTAAAACCAAATGCACTGATGCATTGCCATACAAAAACCATTAAATTGTAATTTTAATTATTATTGAACCGCATATTTTTTCCGCGTTACTCTCTCGCAAAATGAGAAATGTTATATGAAATATGCTATAATTCAATTCTTCATTCTTAAAAGTTAGAAATATTATATATTATTGAAAAATAAAGAGTATTTTTTTGTTCTAGGCCAAACTGCTGGAAAGCTCCCAAGCTTGGCTGGGTGCATCTACTTCGTCCATAGCTGGTATGTACGATATTCTATTACTATTTTTGAAACTAGTTTACTAATTAGTAGCACACAGTAGTGAACAAGTACCCCTTCAAGAAGTTCATTTAATTTTACGTTTCAACTCTTAAAAATCAGCTTATTTTTTTCAATGCTATATTAATGAATTTAGTTATATTATATTTTGAAACTATACTCTGTCGTGAAACAATTTCAGCTTATGTATCTTGTTTTAATTTTCTGATATTAGGGTTACATTAATTTGAATTAATCTATTTTTACTCTTCATGTTTATAGATAGTTATCAGTATCAACTACAATCATTATGGCAAAAATGTTGGAATACCAATCAGCAATCTCTACTTCATAATTTAAGATTTAGAGAACGAGGTCCATTAAAGTCTTGGCGTCCTGAAACAATGGCTGAGGCCATTTTCAGTGTACTAAAACAAGGACTAAGTTTATCCCAAGCTGCACGAAAGTATGATATTCCATATCCAACATTTGTCCTGTACGCGAATCGGGTGCATAATATGTTAGGACCATCTGCAGATGGAGGCAATGATTTGAGGTAATTATTTGTTGTCAATTTGTATTTAAGATTTTATAATATATATATATATATATATATATATATGTATATATATATATATCTTATATATAAAAATGGAGCTCTCTTTCAAATGTCCGAATAAAACTCGAAAACGGCTGAATCGATTTGGCCAGTCTTAGTCTTGAAAAATTCGTGCCAATCCAGAGAAAGTCCAAAAGGTGAGAAATTATTTCAAATCCGCGTAGAAACTTTACATTTTTAATTTGAAAATTTTTATAGAAGCGTAATTTAAATAAAACAATGGACGGTGGCAATTTCGTGAAATGTCAAACGCTTTTGACAGATGATGTTCAATTACGTTTAATAGGATGTTTTACGCGAATATTATTTATTTATGATAAATTTGTAGTAAGTAGTTTTGTTTGTAGTTTTATTTATATACAAAAACGTTAGTAAACGGGCCGCAAGTGTTACTAGAGACTCAAAATCAATATAAACTTTTTTGATATGTTAATATGAAAATGCACTTTTTGGCATATTTTTCTCAAACACGGTGCTCTGAAAGATCTCATTTGTATAATTATATACTCATTGGTATTTATAAAACATTTTTTAGGTTATATTATTTTTTATTTATCTTATTTAAATTCAGAACCTAAATTTGGTATCGATCAAATGGACATTTTGTCGAATAACATTTTTCCAATTATAATTTCCCAGAATTTATCGCAGAATAGATATTAATATATGAAGGTCCGGGATTAAAAAGGTCCACAACCGATGTGCCAAAAATCAGTAAAGTTAAGCATTGTTTAACAACAATATTTGAAAGTAGAGGAAAAAAGAAGTATAGCCAGCTAAACACTTGATTTGAAAACGATAATCTTTGAAATGGGGGAGATAAACGGTAATCTTTGAAAATCCATAATAAAAGTATTTTCTTCCGTTGGTAGTTTTAGCATTAGTTAAAAATGTAATTATTTTATAAAATACCTTTAAAATTATAATAAGGCTTTAAACCTTTTGCCATCTGCCCGTTACAAGTTACCCCGGATATAGGATAAAAAGGTCTAGATAACAAATTTTTGGAAGACATAAAAAAAGCACATTTCTACAATGATGAAGTAGAAGTCAGTTTACTGAACGTAGTCAGTTAATTGTTCGTTTGATATGTCTTATTTGTTGTGATATAATTGTTATGGTTTTCACAATATAGTTTATATTTGCTCAAAGTCAAATTGGACCTTTGTGCCTCGCCCTGCTCTACATATATACTTTTTATTAAATTTACTTTAATTCATCGAATGTAACTTGAAACTTTTAACTTCTCTGATTTTTATTTTTTCCTTCACTATTTTAATAGGTTTTTGTTTCTATTAAACAGGCCAAAAGTTCGCGGAAGACCACAACGTATATTATTAGGGGTTTGGCCTGATGAGCACCTATTATTATTTTTTTATTATTATTATTATTAGCAATTAAATTAAGTTTTTATATAACTTCTCTGATTTTTATTTTTTGCTTCACTATTTTAATAGGTTTTTGTTTCTATTAAACAGGCCAAAAGGTCGCGGAAGACCACAACGTATATTATTAGGGGTTTGGCCTGATGAGCACATTCGAGGAGTAATCAGGACTGTTGTATTCAGAGATAATACTCATTCTACAGATAGACAATTATTAAATAATGAAAGATTTCAAGGCAACGACAAGATTGCACTGGTTGACGAAGAATCATCAGTTCTACAAGTTAGAGATGAAGCAGATTTGTTATGTTTAAATAATCAAAATTTGTCAAATTCAACAAAAACCGAACTATTTCCCAACGACAACTCATCATATCATAAAGATGTTTCTGAATACAAAGATCAATTGCACAAATATTGTACTTTAAATAAAATAATGTTAACTCCACAAGCGAGTACTTTGGATCCTACGTTATGGGTAAGCTATAGATTTATAGATATACAGATGTAATAGATATAATAATATAATGAATATTTACCGAGAATAATGAAACTTTTAATTGATGTCAAACTTGTTAAATTAAAATAAATACTTAATGCATTGATACATCGATCATTGTTTGATGTAACTAATAATATCCAATGCCATATAATAAAGTCAATATGTTATGTTAATCTAGTAAATCATTTAATGTATGGTGGCACATATGTTAGACGTCTATAACTTTATTTCTAAATAATTTCCACTCGATCAAGTAAAATGTAATTCAAATGTGTATGTGTACATTCATTAAAATGAAGTTATATTTAATTTTTAGGTAACTATAGCGCAACGGCAACGATATATGTCAGAAGCTGAAGTGCATCATTCCAGTCTCTTGGTGAGATCAGGTAAGAGCAGCAAATAAGTTTAAATTAATAGTATATATAAATTTATATATATATATATATATATATATATATACATTTGAATTTTCCGCGTTATTTGAATTTTTATCAAATTTCATCTCGTTTTGATTTAGTATGTTTCTTCTGAGAGCATCAAAGATTACATTTTTAACTTCCCGTAGGGTAAGTTATAGTAATCGCAAAAAAATCGAAAATGAAAATTTTTCTATATTTTTGCGTTTCAAAGATTTCTCAACATTTTGGCATACCTTAAATTAGAAAAAATTGATGTATATGTGTGTGTATGTGTATGTGCGCGGATACAAATTTGCGTCGACGATTTTGCGAACACGAATCAACGGATTTGAATAATTAACGTGCTGATTAGTTTTTGGCGAAGGCAAGTCTAGCCGTTTCGGAGATACGGAGCAAAGAGTGCAGAAAATAGAAAGCAAAAAGTGCCAAAAATGATATTTTAGTTTTTGAGATAACGTAGTGTCCGGTTTAAAAAATTAAAAAAAACATTTTACTTGTATTGACGAATTGAACAACTGTTTAAATTTTTGTAAAGGCAGGTCCAGCGTCTCCGGAGATCCAATGAAAAAAGTAAAAATGTTCAAAATTTTCAAATTAAATCAAAAAACAAAAAAATAAAATATTTAAAATATACCAAATTTTTCAAAAAAGTCAAATTTTTTCAAAACTTTCATAATTAATCAAGAATCTTATTTTTTCAAAGTTTAGAAAAGTATTTTTTCAATAATTTAGTTTTCGGTAAGTTCCAGCAAATTTGCCTTAAGGTACGATGCCATGCACCCACTAGTTATTTTTTGTTTATAACCGTTACGGAACGTGCATATTTATATATTTCTTTTTTTCTATACCATTGTTGAAGGTAAAAAAAAAACTGTTCCCGAGATATAAAGAATGTTAGGCGTTAAAGAAACCAGGCTGCCGAAGTGACTATGGTTACATAAGATGATGATCGCCACTTTTTCCTGGATGAATATTTATTATTGTTAAAAGCATGTGTTTCTCGATAAAGCATATTATGAAAAGACAAAGAAATATTCTTTGAGTTTTTGTTTTGTTTAATTGGTGGAAAATTATCACAAAGTTTATGTTCAGAAGGCAAGATATTCATATTTAACGAAAATTATGTCACAGACAGTCAAGTGAATCTTTTAACTTTACATAGGGTAAATTATTGTAATCGTCCAAAAATCTAAATTGAAAATTTTAGCATTTCTTCACGTTTTGAAAGTTTCTGAACACTTTGGAATACCTCGGAAAAAAATGGATGTATGTATGTATGGATACAATTTTTTGTTCACATTTTTTGGCGCACAGATCAACCGATTTGAATGGCTAAAAGGCATTCGATTCCTATTGATAGGGAGATTAGTTTTTGGCAAAGGCAGGTCCAGCCAGTTTTTAAGAGAACTAAGCATCCGATTTGAATGATTCAAAACACTTTCTGCTTGTGTTGACAAAACAAATGCTTTTGGGGGAAAAAATCAAATTTCTTTTTCAAAAAAAAATTTTTGTGTATCGAAAATAATTCAGATTTTAATTTTAATTCTATCTAAAGTTCTAAAGCTCACATATATACTTTAAATAATTAATTTTAACTTTGTAATTCAATTTATATAATTCTTATAAATATTAGACAACGTCCTTCATTTTAAATTCGATTGATTAAATTTTGTTTATTTAGTTTTTTGTAAAAATATATAAGTTACAGTGTTTATAATAATTTATTTGAAAACATTTAATATTCCTCGAATATTGCATTACGGTACGGTAAGTTCCAGCAATTTGCCATAAAGTCACAATGCCATACATCATTGTAGTGTGAATAGTTCTCATAAACAATCGACCTGTTACTGCAATATTCTTCAAATAGTTTTTTATTTATTCGATATCAGTGCGTTAACTGGAGTGCATAGCAGGTTAAAATATTGTTGTAGCCCTTTTAAAATCCTTTATAGCTTGTTAGCCCGGTCAATTTACGTATTCAAGGTTACTATAATTCATAATGGACTGTAACTAGGCAAAATTGTTTAAAACATAATTATAAATAGAATTTTAAAAGTCCTTATCGATCCGATGCGAGCTAAAAAAATTACACAATAAAAAATAACCCTTTGGGATTTTTTGCTAAATGGTCAGTTTTATCGCAAAATTACGTGAGACAATATTGTATGATATAAAATTATCTACAAAAAATGCATCAATACTTTTTTTGCTCAGAGCCACTGTTTTAAAGATATATCTTTTTGAAGAGTACGTTTAAAAGCCATCTACGAGGTAGTGTGATTAGCTCGTTTTTTTACGTGGTTTTCCTAGTGTGCCTAAGTCACGGATATGTTGTGATTTTGTTTGTTTCGGAACACTTGCAAAATGATATATGTGAATTTGGGTTGGTAAAAATAAAGACAGTAATTATAAAACTAACTTTATTCCTGGGAGTTATTCTCTTGATCTTCTCCTTCTTCTTCTTCTTCTTCAACAATTTTGCCAAGTTACAGCCAATTATGAATTATAATAACCTTCACCCTGATTTTAGGTTTGAATTAACCGGGCTATGTATAGCTGAAGCTTCGTATTCCCATGAACCTATGGGCAATATTGAAAATTAAGATCTTAAAATGTTGAGAAAACATTAAATTAGCAAATCGAATTTGTTCTTAAGGTATGTGCTTGGCTGAATCTCCAACAACAGGTGATGTTTACGTGGCGCCTACGGAGTCACGTGACAGTCCATCACCAGCAGCTTTTGACTTAAGCGGGACATATTCTTTACCAGTTCCTTATAATTATGGAAATAAATTTCCTCCAACAGTCGCTGAATTGGGACCAGGTAGTTCATTTGTACAAAAGGAGAGACATCCAGCAGATTTACCTGAAACTGTTCGATGCCAAACAAATGTATCCTTACCCAACATCGCAGAAACATCAGAAATTAAGGATACTAATTCACTAAAATTATCGCCATAAGTAATAAACAAGCCTGTATAGATGAATAATATAGAAATAAAACTATAAATATACCTATATGTACATACATATTCTAACTTACAATAAAATGTTACTCTGATTACTTTTAGTATAAACAAAAAATATTTTTTGAGAGTCTTCATTTACCAAAACCGGATCAGTGAATCTACAGTTTGAAACAAAAATTTAGACAAAAATATGAAAAATAAAACCCCAAAAATATAGACCTAATATGTAAATACAATAGATTTTTATATAATAATGTATATAAAAATTATAATATTTTATAAAATATATACATACATGCAATCAGTAAACCATAAATGTTTAGATTGCTGAGCACAGGAAAAACCTTATTATGTTACGAACAAAATTATAAGTTCATATAACATATGGCTATTTTAACAATGGCTGGCGTTTTCTCCGCTTAATATTAAAACTCCGTTTTGGTAAGTTATGTAATATTTACGTAACATAATTTCATAAATGTTGCATTTCAAAATGATTTGCATAAATATCTATAGTTAATACATTTCAAACACAATTAACTTAAAAATAGTTAATCATATTAATTTATTTATGTCATCAAAATTATTTCTATATGAAAATATGGTCAATGTATATTTTTTTCAATTTGTAACTAAATTATTATGAGCAATTACTTTAGCAAGCATATTAATAATCAACGTCTTTATTTGTGTAGAAATAAATATATTTTAGCATTAATAAACATAAAGATAGATCTATCAAAATCTATTTGTGATAAGATACAACTTTTTAAAATTATAAAACACTAATTAAATTAGTATGTTCTTGACTGATGAAATGCTTGCAATCCTGCAATAGTAGTTTAAATTGTTTTAATAAGTGATACATAATTTTAGCTAAGTCTGTATTGCAAAATGTTAAAATATATGTTAATGCTATAGTAATATTAAAGTACTTAATAATTTTCATTAATTATATTCTTAATATATGACATTCAAAGCAAAGATATCTTTGCTGAAAAGAAACATATATATTCTTCTTTTGTAAACACAGTATTTATTCAAAAAATAATTATGAACTGCTTCTGATTATGAAGTAACAAATAAGTTTTAATTGTGCAATGCATTTTTATTTATTTTTTGCTTATAATTTATTTATGAAATGTTTATATGTATTATAAGAAATATTACTGGCTATAATGATTTTATATATTTTTTGAATGAAATATAATGTTACAATTCCATATATATATGTATATATAGCTATATAAATATAAATATATATATATATATATATATATATATTGCATATATAATTTTTATATTATTTTCTTCAACATTGAGACATATTCTTGAGTGTTCTTCTTTTATTTCGGCGATTGGCTGCAAATTAACACTCAAGAATATATATATATATATATATATATATATATATATATATATATATATATGGGTGTAAGAAATAAAATACTACGGCTAGTGCTAATATTTGTTGTAAATAATAATTAAGAAAGTAACTACTTTAAAAGGTCTATAATAAACATGCTGCAATAAATACATAAAACTTTATGTAAAAATTGATTTGAAATATTTTCTTAAAATAGCTTTTATAAATTATTATTTAAATGTAGGATAGTTTTAGAAATATAACTGCAAAATTGTAATTTGACCTATCAACTCATTCTTGCCTATGAAATGATGATATCTTTGTGCCTTCCAGGTTACGTCATTGAAAAAAATGTTATGTGTATTATTTTGTATATTATATACATATATATATATATATATATAATATTAAATTAACTAAGTTTTATGAACAAATAACATTCTTATGTTTGCACTTTTTATTAATTATTTTAATTTATACAATTGTTTCGAGACTCAGTTTGTCTCATCATCAGTGCAATAAATTTAAATAAAATCACTGAAATATAGAACAGAATATTATCTTTTGTAGTACTCATGCTTAACTGGTGCTCCATGTACCAGGTGATACACTACATGACTTACACCAGTAAGGTATGAGTAGTACATTAGAGAACACACTTACATGCTGATCTATCTATATTTTAGTGATTTAATTTAAATTTATTACACTGATGATGAGAGAATTGAGTCTCAAAACGTTTGTGTAATTTAAAATAATTATTAAATAGTGAAAAAAAGGATGTTGTTTGTTCATAATTCTCACAATTAGTTAATTTAGTATATATTTATTTAATATATATGTATGTAATCACAGAATAGTTCAGTCAATGAAGAACTTATTTAAAACATTGGAGTTTCACATTATTTTTTCTACACTACACTTATAGTTATAGCAGTGCCATGGATTACTAATCGACCCAGAACTTGTATATATAGAATGTTACGCTGAACTACATTGTACATATAATACACTCAATCAATCAAATTTGATCAAATAATCCCTTACAAGTGACTTATACAGCCGAAATAAAAATGGAAATTATTTGAATGAAACGATTTTTGAAATGTTACTTATTACTACTTGATAATTTTTATAGATAAAAGTATGTCATTTAAGATATAAAAAAGAACGCTGCAAAGGGTTTAAACAAAAAGTACATATTCATTGTATTGAAAAAAATGTGAAAAATCTATTGTAGTTACATATCATTAATATTGTTTTTTATTTCAAAATGTAAGGCATGCGCACATAAAAACATATACATATACCATAATTATTTCAATTCATACAACACAGATTTAAATTTATATAGTTTGTATGTTTATTAATTCATATGTTTTGGCTTAGCCAAATTCAATCGCATATATTAGACAAAAAACTAGCAACAGGAAATTGAGTCAACTTTGTAAAAAAAATAAAGCTACTTATAAGAAATATATATATATATAGCTACTTACATTTAGATAGTTATTATTTTAGCATTGTTTATACAAATTTACTGAAGCTTCTAATTTATAGAATTATATGAAATGAACTAAATTTCAAACTTATTATATATAAATCTATAATCATGAATAAATTTTATAAAACTATATATTTACAATAATATTTTAAAAACCCAGTGTTTAGAGACGAACAAATGAAATTCGGGATGTTTTTTTTAAATAAAAGTTTCGGGCATATATGATTTTATGGCCTATCATTTCCTAAATAACGAAATTCATGTGTATGTCTGCAAAAACTTATATGTTTTAAAATTTATTTGTTTCTTTACAGTAATTGCTATTGTTTAAATGTTTGAAATAAAGTTTAGAAAAGTCATCTATTATAAAGAATTTTTCTCACTTATTGTTAAACCTTTTTAAATATTATAGTTCTTTATTATTTTCATATTGATTTCAATATATATATATTGAAATGTATAAGATTGGAATTTTAGGTTTTGAAATACAACCATTATAACTTGGAGATAACATGCATCAAAGAAATTAATTGAAATAATATTAGAAAAACGGTAGAAGGTGCAATCTCATGATCACAACCACGTGGTTTAAAAGCAAAGAACACAAGCAAAAAGACTGTGCACGCGGAAGAGGCCGGAAAACTGCACGTTTTATTAAACTGGCAATATAATCATCAAAAATTGATTCAGAAATAACGTCAAGGATGTTAAGACTTTTCCAGTGCCCAATATCGATTCGAATCATAATATGCTGACGGCCTAAAGAATATTTTCAAAACCTGAAAACGGTATTTTAACAATTTAACAATAATTAATAATTTGCATATGAGTCGACTATAGGTTGTAAAAAAAGAGATAGCAGTTATTATCCAACAGATAACGTTAACAATATTATTACAATAATTTAATTTAAAAATCACCCTACTCACTACATTAATGCACGGGTAAAAAATCTGTGATAGAATAGTTACGAAAGTAACGGTTTTAACGGAGCTATTCAAATTCATTCAATCATTTGTGATTGTAATCCTAGTATTTAAAATAATATGTCAGGAAATAAATATTTCAAACTATATTTTCACCATCGCAATAAATGTCGTAAAAGTGTGCTGAAAATTAAATAACATTACTTTATACTATGGCCGTTAAAGTAAAGTTGTACTTGATTGCAAATAACGTCACATAAATCTTTTGAATGACAATTTTCGTGAAAGTCAAATATAAGTAATTGTTAGTAAAAATTCTTTATTAATTAATTATCTTAATATAATGTATTAACTATTTGTCTATACATATATATCATTTCTTGTTATGCAAAATATGAATATAATCGACTTAGTCAATGAATATTCAGATTTAGCATTTTCAACTGCTAGCATATTTTAAAAATAAATTCACCATAGATAAATAAACGTGCTGAGTTTTCGACAAGAGTAGGTTCAGAAGTTTGGGAAAGCAAACAAACAGTTCTTTAGAGAATAATACGTTCGATTTGAATGCTTCAAAAAACATTTGATTCATATTGATTGAGTGAATTTATCACATTTTTTGTAGGCAGGTCTAGTGATATTAGTGCAAAAAGTGCAAAGAATAGGAGTTTTTGACAGAACGGCGCATCCGATTAAAGTGATTCAAAAAGTATACTGTTTGTGTTATACTTGCATATAAAATTTATATACATAAACTTTATTATATAATAAAGTCCGTCGCCCAAAATAAGCACATATATAAGTTCTATATATATATATATATATATATATATATATATATTTATATATATATATATATATATATATATATATATAAGTATATATATATATATATGATAAAATTTATAGTCACAGAAAAAAAGAGAATACAGTATTTATAATAATTATTCTAAAATATCTAAAACAGTTGTTATTACTTATTGATAATTTGTTATTGATTATTGGTTGAATCAACTAACGGTTATATTCAACCGTTTTTTCTTTGTTAATGAATCAATTCAAATAACTAGTTGAAAATCAACTGATTTTGCAATGAGTTGAAAACATGGCGGCCAGGTAGTTATTAAAACATTATAAACTTGCAACAAGCGTCAAGTCGTTTAATTTTAGAAAATCAATTACTTTTATTATAGTTTTTCAA